CAGTTCTGTGCACCCACCTATTTAATTTCGTGCCCTCCGAAGGTCTCTGGAGTCTCGGGATGCTCGGGTGAACAGCTAAAATGTTGCCCTTTGCAGACATGAAGCGCAGGGCAGGGCGACGGGCTGGGCCAGGTCTCCTCGCAGGTGGCTCGACCAGAGCTAAGCCTCTTCTGCAGAGGCTTCTGCGCTGTTTCCAAGGCATCAATCCCACGTCTCACATCGTCCTTCCCACTTTCCGCCTCCACCTGTCGGACTTTCATTGCCCAGTCCCACCTCAGTCTGCCACGTGATCCTGCTGCAGAATGGGGCTCAAGGCAGAGCCCCGGGAAGGGCCTTCCTGTGCGGGCCAGAGCGAATGCAAAGACCCTCAACGCCTCCAAGAGCAGCTCCTCGGGGCTCCCAAGGCTTCCTCGATTGCCACCCACCGGTGCATGAAGGGTCCTGCTGTTCCCAACAGGTGCTCTCTGTGCCAGAAGGTCTTGCCACGTGAAATGACAATCCCTGAGCCTCCTGAAGGTAATCCTATGTAGGTCTAGGAGTGACCTGTGTGTGCAGACTCTCTGGAAACTTAACGGCTCATGCCAGCCAGAGTTTTTTCATTATTTTTATAAAACTATGCAAAGACATGATTAAATTTTGAAAGAATCCCATTTTACTTCATTCAAATAATTTAAAAGTTTTATATACTTTGAAGTTTACCTTTCATTTTGCAGAGTGGTAGACTTAAGAAAAATAACTTGTAAACCCAAGAAATAATTTTTAAATTTCATGTTTGTCTAATTTATATTATGTGATAATAGTCAAGTTGTGTATATTTTGAATAATATTTTACTTTTTGTGGTACTGAGGATTGAACTCAGGGCAGGTGTTCGACCACTAGACTATATCCCCAGCCCACATTTCACTTTTAATATTTTAGACTCAGAAGTTAGATCATTGGTGTCAATAGAAAACAAGTTTTATGAGGAGATCTTAGCTATAACAGCCTCATTATGGATTGGTCCAAGATGAAGATTAAAAGTAAGCTAAGGGGGGGGGGCTGATTAAGAGCACTGTGGCTCCTCCAGAGACCCGAGCTTAGTTACCAGCACCCACATGAGGTGACTTACAACCACCTGTGCCACCAGCTCACAGGATCTGACACATTCTTCTGGCCTCCACAGCAGCAAGCACACACATGGCATAAACACATCCACACATACACAGAAAAAAATAAAATAAAATGAAACCCAGGTGGAACCCAGGAACATGCCTTTAATTCCAGTATTCCATAGGCAGAGGTAGGTGGAGCTCTGTGAGAGTCTGGCCACCCTGGTGAGTTCTAGGCTAGCTGGGGCTACAGGGAGACCCTGTCTTAAAAACAGCAATAGCAATAACAATAAATAAATTAAAAAATATACAGATTAAGTAACATTAATTACATGTGGCCTAATTTTATTACTAATGGGAATATCACCAACCCAATCAGAGACTAACTGGATGTGCACCATGGTAAATAATCCCAGTCACCATGGTTCCTGTAGTGACTTTAGGAATCATTGTTTTCCATACATTTCTGGACTCTCATTTTGAAAATCTGTTTGTTCAAGAGGATGACAAAACACGCTGTATCTAACCACTAGTTTGCCTGATGTATAACTTTTTCCTTTTTTCTCTCAAGACATATAACATTTGGGCCTCCATCAGACTTGTTCAGAATCCTCAAAATGTGAGGAGCAGATGTGCCCAGATAGCTCCTTTTTTGAAAGCCTGCAGTAGTCCTGATCTTCCCAACTATCTCCTTGTGGTGCTGCCAAAATGGATTTTCCCCTAGTGACCTACACTACTCACAATTGGTAGTTAGGTTTACGGATAAAAGAGTAAGAGACACAAACATAAATTCTTTAATCTTTGGGGGCTGGAGAGATGGTTCAGCGGTTAAGAACACTGGTTGTTCTTGTAGAAGATCCAGGTTTGAATCCCAGCCCCCACATGGCAGCTATCGACTGTCCCTAACTCCAGTCCCAGGGGATCCGACATCCTCTTCTGACCTCCGCAGGCATTGCACAACACGGGCGCACTTACCTGCATGCAGGCAATACACGAATACACATAAAATAAAAATAATAAATAAAATTAAAAAAAATTTAAATCAAGTTTTTAAAGTTTTTTAACTAACCCATTGGTATCTTTAATATGCTCCCCACACTTTCACCATGGTTCCTCCAGGAGACCTACACTGCCCCAGATCCATACTTCTACCCTCATAATATTATCTGTTTGAATGGCTGCTCCTCTTCCAAGCCCCCTGCAAAGAGCACATCCCCCAAGATGTCTTCTCAACGGCCAATGAGCTGTCCTATCTGTGCTTCCAGGACACTCACCCGTCACTGTGTTACAAAGCACAGGACAGTGGATCAGACACACAGTCCTGGGTATGTGTCTCTGTCTCTTTTGTAGTCCACTTCTTTGGGATAGATTGTGTCTTTTTTTTTAGCCTCTGCACACATTTGTAACAAGCATAGTACTTACAAAGAAGTTACATCCAGCTACTTTAAATTCAAGTTTGTTGGATCTACTTTAGAGGAAGAAGAATAAAGTCGTTACTTTTTTTTTTTTTTCTTGGTCTTTTTAAGATAGGGTTTTCCTGTAGGCCCAGCTGGCCTGGAACTCACTCTGTAGACCAGGCTGGCCTTGAACTCACAGAGATCCACCTGCCTCTGCCGCCTGAGTACTGGGATTAAAGGCATGATCCACTATGCCCAGCTTCAAGTCATTTCTTAAAACAAAACAAAACAAAAACCTATGCATTCTTTTTTTTCATGACTAAATACTTTTGTTTTGCTTTCAAATGGCATCACACACAGTCTAAGACAATTGACTGATTTCCAGGAAAAGCACTTTGTTTAAAAGCACATCTCATTGACAAACTGAACACTGTAAAACACTGAGCCATTTACAATAGATGATTTATGTAAATATATTGGAAGAATTTCAATGCATAAATATTCTAGAGATTTCTAGTGTCCAAAAATCTGCTGCTTCTCCCTTCAGAGGTTAGACACGCACTACCCTCGAGCGTAGAACTGACAGAGGAGACCCCTCAGAAACAGAGGCCGTGGTAGGCCACAAGGGAGACTTGAACATAAGATACAAGGCTTTCTCTTGGGTTTGCTTGCCGTTGGGAAGCCTGGTGCCACTTTCTTGATGAAAAGACCCACATGCTCAGGATCCTGTCAATGGCCACCCTAGTAGACTTGGAGGCAGATCCTCCAGCCTCACTTAAGCCTCACTATGGCAGCGGCCTCAACAGACAGCTTTACTAAGTCCTTAGCAATCAGATGAGGTAACACTAGCTGTCACACACTGCCAAGTCTGGAGGTTTAAGCATTATCCACAGTAGATAGCGGATACAGATAGGATAGTACGTTGTGAGACTTCTTGCTGTGTGTAGTCCCAATTTTCACTCTATGAGCCCTGATCTCTGAAATCAAGACAAAAACTAAGTTGGTTGCCAGGAACCTGCCACCTTAACCACCTTCATGTGATGGCAGTGGGTGTCATTGTCATTTGCCAGTAACATATTTAGCAAATGCTTATTGGTTGTCTCTATCAGCCAATCACTGTGCTAGGTCTCGGGGATTCCAACACAAGACACACTTCATGTTCCAACACTTCCCATTTACTCACTGGAAGGACTGGGGCTTGAGGTCAGTCAGGGACGCGCTTGTTGTGTGAAAAGTTTTTTAAGAAGTTAAATTTTATGATGGAGTAAGAATGTGAATAGAATTTAAGAAAGACTTGCAGGTAATTACAGTTTTAACAAGTAGAGTCCTAAGCACTGTGAAGCCTGACAGTTTCAGGCTTCTAAGCCTTTTGGTAATGGGTCTCAGGGTGGGTGATGACTAGAATTCCGTGAAATGGTCTGTTTGCCTATAAGAGCAGTCACTGCCAATAACAGCATCCTCAGGGATGAAGGACAGTGACATTAATGGCAAGAAAAATATTCCATTAGTAAAACATCCCCTAATTAACACTAATCTGCTCCCTGGAAGAGCTGCTTGAGAGGAAAGAGCTTCCCTCCCCCACTCCATGCCAAACCTCTGAGCTTTAATTTGGAAAATTTTCCATTTAGATTCAAGGACTATTAAAAGGCTTCACTGAGCAAAAATTTAAACTCAATCTATTTCAACACTCAGATAACATGTAAGATGTGGTCTTTTGTCAAGTCCTAATTGAGCATATGGGTTGAAATTAATTAAAATTTTCTATCTTCTGAATTGACTTCTACCATCTTTCTGTTTTTCTATGATAAAAATGCATTTACTTAAGTAAATGATGGCATACAATCTTAGAAACTGTTACACAACATGATGGATGTGGTCCTTGCTCCTGTAAAACCCCTGAGTTCAAATCAGATAAAAATCACCAGAAAATAGATACATTGAAATTACATAAAACTAATGAGAGTATCTTTATGTCAATCCATTTGGGAAATTTTAAGTTTAATCGGTGGGTCTGAAACACAATAAACATGACAGGTCACACAGTTACAAAACCAGTTATGCAATCAGTTATGTGTGACTTTGACATGTGTTTTACCTTTCTTGTGTTCAGTTTCCCCCTGGGTAAAATGGAGATGATGGTGGTAACACCCACATATGGTTGTCCCATGTTTAAATGAGAAAACACATACAATGTGTTTAGCTTGAAACCTGGCGCACAGTGTGGTGGTGTTATTATTGTCTCTGTCCCCAGCAAAGAATGCATTACAAACTCTACCCTCGGTGTTCAGGCAAAGAGGAAGGACTTGTGGAGTCAACACCACTAGGCTTCAGGGCAGCTGAGTCTGGTCTGGTCGCTTCAAAGAATGCATTACAAACTCTACCCTCGGTGTTCAGGCAAAGAGGAAGGACCACCACTAGGCTTCAGGGCAGCTGAGTCTGGTCTGGTCGCTTCTTTCGTTTTGGTCCCCTTTGGCCAGGCCCCGCCCACCGCATCAGCTACTTTGAGCCCCGCCATCATCCCCAGGTTGTTCTTGGTAGCCTATTGGTCTCTGCGAGCACAGCCTTGATGCACATTGCTTTTCTCCTTCACCAAAGCATGGGATTCCCAGGATTGGAGTCGCTCTGAATGCTGGGCCAGAGACTGAAGCTCCTCGTCGTCCTCTAAACACCGTCCCAGGCAGCCCTGTCTGTGCAATTCTCTTAGTTCCTTCCTGCTCTAGTAAGTAGAAAAGGGATGGCTCCGGCAGTCCCCGCACCCCACGGGCCGAACAGTCATCAACCCTGAGGGAACCTTCAGTCAGGGGAGACTCAGGCTTGCTCAGTCATCTGGTCCAGACCAGACCAGACCAGACTAGACAAGCCTAATTTGCCGAAAGGTCCTGGCTCCCTGACCCTCATGTGTTCATCAAGTCTTAGCAGTGTGACCATGAATTCCATTGTGGTGAAGCTGCCGCTGGCTGGCCAGGGGCCGTGGTCTGTAGCTGTTCACAAGGAACTTGGAAGCCCGCCGTCTCAGGCATCCCAGGCGATCGGCACCCCAGGCGATAGGCTCTCCTTTATGCAACCATTTTCATTTATTCTCTTGTAAAGTTGTCTTTGATAGCTTTTAAATGTATGAATGATTTTCTGAAAATACATCTCCTTCTAGCTGAAAAGTAGATGTTCTTTATTCTCACGTCTCCCAGGTGTGGCCTCACAGACTACAGAAGTGAAGAGCTTTTTACTGAGTTCAGAGTTTAAACAAAGAGAAAAAAGAAAGCAGTTTCTCAGCAGAAAAATGCAACAAAGACTTTACTTCTTACCAAATAACTTAAGAATGTCTGAACAAAAACATCCAAACCTCGCTAGTGCCAAAATTTCTCAGATAAGTCAAGAGAGGAGAAAAACAGTGTAAACCCAAAGCAGCCAGAAATCTACGGATGGAAAGAGAGAAAACAGGATGTAATGCGCATGTAGATGCCGGTCATTTGAAGAATACACTGACAGGAGTGTCCTGGGAGTACCTGTGATGCATGGGTGTGTTTTCTACTAAATGTTGTTTGGAAACAATCAGTAGGTGAGCCCCTGCAGACCCACCCCACTCTCCTCCAGGAACTCTTCCAAACTCTGGGGCTTCAGGCGGCCCTTGGCACCCCCACTGTCTACCTAGCTGCAAACTCCATCAGGCGCCTCTTATGTATCAGGTCACAAAGCAATCCAGCTGTGAGCTGGTTCTTCTCACACAGGACGCAGGACGGCAAGGCTCATGGCTATAGAAATAAAGATTTGGATCTCCCTTCTCCTAAGTGCCTGCCACCGGGCCTTGAAGCCATAGGAATGGATTGACTGGCTTACCAATCTACAAATGTTTTCTCCAAACCAACAGAGACTATAAATCTGAAAGAGCGCTGCTTCCTATTACCATGAAAAAAAAAACGAGAGCCCTCAACAGCAGAATTTTTCAGTTATTTAGGGTGCTTATTCATTTTGTGAAGCCACAGAACACTCTTCCTGATGCACAGAAAGCTGGTCGCTTGGTGTTTACTTTCACTTAACTTTCTGTGTTGCAGAACCACAGATGGGTATCAAAGGCAGGAAGGTGGCTGTAGATACGGGAAACAGAAGCTTATTTGCAGAATTTTGATGTCCTAGAACCAGTGAAATCTTTTCTTAAATAGAAAAGTATCAAGTTTAGGATACAGATGTTATTTTTATCAGCAGTTAGCATGTTTTCAGAATTGTTACCCTTAATAGAATAGCCTGAAAATTGAAAAAAAGGGAATTTTAATGAAATATGGACTTAGTTAAAAAAAAAAAACCAACAAAATATGGGTGCTCTTGGTCCCATTTTTAGAAAATAAATCCCGAGTATTTGGAATATGGAAGATGACTATGGATCGATCGGGTCTGGAATAGTCTACCCCGAGATGACTATGGATCGATCGGGTCTGGAATAGTCTACCCCGAGATGACTATGGATTGATCGGGTGTAATGGATCGATCGGGTCTGGAATAGTCTACCCCGAGATGACTATGGATCGATCAGGTCTTGAATAGTCTACCCTGAGATGACTATGGATCGATCGGGTGTGGAATAGTCTACCCTAAGATGACTATGGATAGACCAACGAAATTTGTGCACACTTTCCCACTTTACAAAAATACACTAAAATTCATTAATAGCTTTTACAAAAAATTCTCTCTTCTCACATGTTTATATATATTTTATACAGTTTTACATCTCAATTCAAATGTAATATTTTGTTTAATGCTTTTAAGAAAATGTACATGCTATATTTTCTTTATTTAACAATTTGAAATTATGTTTATTTGTGTGTGAGTGGGGGATGTGCATGTGTGGGTCAGAGCGTAACTTGTACCCCTTCGATCACATCATTCCCAGGGATTGAACTCAGGTCATCGGACTTGGTGGCCTGCACCTTACCCAGTGAACCACCTCACTGGCCCCATTTTTTCAGTGGCTTATATGTTTCCCCTCAACTTCATGAAATGAAGCAACGAAACGCTAAAGGGCAGGTTACATGTGGGGTTACTTTTCAGTCTCTTCTGTGCAGAGATGAGGGGTAGAGATGGGTTAAAGAACAGACAGATGTCAGATGAGCTGTGCACCAGCATCCAGGGTCAACTGCTCCTGGATTTCCTGACTTCCCAGGTATCCCACCTCACATTATGCTGATTCCTTGTTGGCAGCCAGGAGACCTGTAGCGGCTCCAGATTCCAATTTCATCTAGACACTTCTTTGGGGGTGATTCTCAAGAGACCAGAGGAAGCTGCTCACAGTCGTGACCTCTGTCTGGCTGATGAAAGCCTCAGCTCTGTGCCCACAGGGCCTTGCCGTGGATCACCACACTCCCTCCACACTTCCTTCCTCATTCAGTGTGCTCATGGCCATGTGAGATCACTGAGCGCTTAGGTCCTGAACTGCACGTTCCCATGTTTAGTGAATCAGGAAACAGTGAAGCACGTGTCTCGTGACATTCTCATCTGAGCATGAGTATCCAGTAACAAGTGAACAGACATGGTTGGAAAAGAGGCTGAGGCTTTGATGGTCTCAGCTGGTGTTTAAGGTAATCTGTAAGCCAACCTGTGTGTCTGTGTGGATTTTAATCATTATACCTCTCTGCATGAAAAGTTTTCCCAAGTCCCACAGGTAAAATCTGATTGTCTTTAGTGCCCCACCATCGGTCCCAAGGACAGCACCCAAAACACTTTAAACATCTTGCTTTCAACTGTAAAGTCCTTAAGGAAAGGAACTTTTTCTTCTTTATCTCTGAAAACCTATGAACCTTAACAGTGCTGGAACATGGGAGATGCTTGATACACTGATTTGTTTATTTAAAAAATAAA